GTGCACAATGAAACCTGCAGCTTTGTGTAACTATGGCAAGCTCGAAACACCAGCTAGCTTGTATACAATTTTTAGGCATTTTGCCAAGACACCCCCTGAAGATAGCTGAATGCACCCCAGAGACTTTGCAGGGCACCCTGTTTAAAAAAGGCTGCTCCAGGATATGGAATTCAAAGGCAAGTCAACATTCCTCTTTCTAAATCCTGGAGTATAATTACATAAAAGCTGTCTTTAACCTTGGCGCTTAGTCTTTCAGCAACAAGCCTTTAACGGTAGCGCTCATGTTTCTATGCTAACAGATTGAGAAATATTTTATATTTAACCTGTTTGTAGCTTATATAGTGATACTTTTATTATGAAACTGAAATTAAAAACAAAAATGTATATCCCACCTTGTCCTCCATCAGAAATACTAGATGCAGAAGGCAATGTCACTTGCCTATAAACCCACAATACAAATCTTGCAGGGTTCCTGACCGTTTTCTGAAAACTTAATGTTCTGGACTTGGCTGTAGAGCATAGTGGCTATCCAAGGCGTGTGAGCCTTGATAATTATGGTTACTGCTATTCTCTGCAGCTGTGCTGGTGCACGTGTGAATTTTCAGAGGACTGCTGGAAATATTTCAGTCCCTGAATGCTGCCTGGCTGCAAAAGGAACAAATCCATGATGTATCCATATGATTTCTGTAATCCTACTTTTAGAATTTGTTCAGGAGGGGGGGGGGGGGGGGGTTAAGTTGGGCTGGGAATGTGTTTTTTGTTTTGTACCTACAATTTTACCTTGCTAATGTCCCTTGCCCTGTATTAGATGGTTTTTGTTAAGCATTTGATCATAGTTCTGTTACTTCTGGAAGGTGGTGGGACTTCGAGGTCAGGCATGCAGAGTCAGTCCTGGCCTCCACATTTCTCACATTTTCACATTTTCAAGGCTGTCGCCTGGTCGTCTTTTCACATTTGCTAAAGCGGATATAAAAGCTTTTTTTCTATTAAAATAAACATTTTATACTTGCCTGCTCTGTGCAATGGAATTGCACTGAATAGGCCGCAAACCTTCTTTTCTGTGGTACCCTGCTGGCGCTCTAGGCTCCTCCTGTTCTGTGTTTGCCACCATAGAAAACCGCTCACTATGGGAGCAGACATGCTGGCTTGATCCTGAGCCAAACAGCGTGCGTACATACACAAATACATAGCGCTCTCTGCTCACAGAATTTGACTGCAGTAGGAGCCAATGACTTCTGCTGCTGCCTCTGTCTTGTGACTGCAGGAACAGAAAAGAGCTGCTACAGATGGGCACAGCCTTAGATCGAGTGAGGACCCCTGTAATTATTTAGGGGGTTGGGGCGATACCGCTACTAGCAGATTTTTTTTTTATCTTCATGCAGAAAATTTGTTGATAATAAAATGTATTGGCTTTAGAACTACTTTAAATTCTACCAGGTGGTTGTTTGGGCCTCTGGTGCCAGTTTTGGGTGTAACGTGGTACAAACTGTTTTCTGAGTCTGTCAAGCTTTTGTTTTGTTATGTGGGCCTGTTGGCATTTGTTTGCTTACTCTATTTTTTTGGATGTGCCATGGGTGATAAAATGGGTACTGTATGCCTTCCTTGCCCCTCTGGCTATGGGGAACAAAGAGCACAATGGTAAGAGTTCTCTCTTCCAACCCCATGTGACATTGCTGGGTTCCTGATCAACTTAAAGTGGTTCTAAGTTTTTATTTTTTTTTTTATTATTATTATTATTATTATTATATCCTAATACATTACCTGCAGTAAAGGGTATGCAAACCCAACTTTTCATATTCCTGATGTGGGATGTACTTATTTAAAAAGTATCCTGATCTTAGTATTGCTTTCTTTTTTTGAATTACTAGGTGTTCCTGCCAGTCCCTCTGCTTTCTTATTAAAAACTGACCACACAAGGCAGGATAGCACAGCATGGTCAGTTCTTCCCCCCCCCAGCTATTCACTGGGAAGCTCTTGTCTCGTATGCAGCTAAGAACAGAGGGAATGTTATCACAAAACAATGTTTAGTGTCTGTGTTTTTTGTATGCTATATAGAGATAGAGAGCTGCACCGTGCATCCTATAAGTATTCACAGCACTTAACATTATCCACGTTTTTGTTATGTTGTAGCCTTTTTCCAATATGGATTAAATTAATTTTTTTCCCTCAACATTCTACAAACAATACCCCATAATGACAACGTGAAAGAAGTTAATTTTTAAATCTTTGCAATTTAATTAAAAAAAAAATGGGAAAAAAAACAAATGTATATAAGTAGTCACAGCCTTTGCTCAATACTTTGTTGATTCACCTTTAGCACCAAATTCAGCCTCAAGTTGTTTTGAGTATGATGTTACAAGCTTGGCACACCTATTTTTGGGCAATTTCTCCCAGGCTTCTTTGCAGTACCTCTCAAGCTCCATCAGGTTGGATAGGGAGCATCGATGCACAGCCATTTTCAGATCTGTCCAGAGATGCTCAATCGGGTTCAAGTCTGGGCTCTGGCTGGGCCACTCCAGGACATTCACAGAGTTGGCCCGTAGCCCACTCCTTTTATGTGAGCTGTGTGCTTAGGGTCGTTGTCCTGTTGTGATGAATTGTCACCCCAGTCTAAGGTCCAGAGCGCTCTGGAACAGGCTTTCATCAACGATATCTCTGTATATTGCTGCATTCATCTTTCTTTCGATTCTGACTAGACTCCCAGTTCCTGCCGCTGGTATTGGCCAGGTGGTGAGCGGTACCTGGTTTCCACCAGACATGATGCTTGGCAATCAGACCAAAGAGTTAAATCTTTGTTTCATTGGACCAGAGAGTTTTGTTTCTCATGGCTGGAGTCTCTCAGGTGCCTTTTAGTAAACGCCAGGCAGGCTGCCTTTTTACTGAGGAGTGGCTTCCGTTTTGCCACTCTACCATACAGGTTTGATTGGTGAAGTGCTGCAGAGATGGTTGTTCTTCTGGAAGGTTCTCCTCTCTCCACAGAGAAGCGCTGGAGCTCTTTCAGAGTGAACATCGGGTGCTTGGTTACCTCCCTGGCTAAGACCCTTCTCCCTCTATCGCTCATTTTGGCCGGGTGGCCCGCTCTAGGAAGATTCCTGGTGGTTCCAAACTTCTTCCGTTTACGGATCATGGAGGCCACTGTGCTCATTGGGACCTTCAATGCTGCAGAAATGTTTCTGTACCCTTCCCCAGATCTCTGCCTTGATACAATCCTGTCTCGGAGGTCTATGGACAATTCCTTGGACTTCATGGCTTGGGTTGTGCTCTGACATGCACTGTTAACTGTGGGACCTTATATAGACAGGTTTATGCCTTTCCTAATCATGTCCAATCAACTGAATTTCCCACAGGTGGACTCCAATCAAGTTGTGGAAACAACTCAAGGATGATCAGTGGGAACAGGAGGCACCAGAGCTCAATTTTGAGTGTCATGGCAAAGGCTGTGAATACTTATGTGCATGGGTTTTTTTTGTTTATTTTTAAAGTGCAAAGATTTCAAAACAAACTTTTCATGTTGTCATTATGGGGTATTGTTTGTAGAATGTTGAGGAAAAAAAATTTAATCCATTTTGGAATAAGGCTGTAACATAACAAAATGTGGCAAAAGTTAAGCGCTGTGAATACTTTCTAGGTGAAGTGTGTGTGATATTTTTTTTTTCTTTTAACATCTATGCACAAATGTTTAGCCTGTCATTTCTATTTTCAACTGAATGGGTTGTTTTACAAGTTGAGAGTTTGTATATACTTAAGGGTAAAAAAAAACCTTCCACTAGTGCTTTTTTTTTTTTTTTTTTTTTTTTCTCCCCTCCCCAAATACTTGATTCCTGTATCAATCCAGTGCTGTGGCAGTCTACAGCGGTGCTTGTTCTTCCTCTCCTCCCCACAGGCTCAGAGACAGCAGCAGGAACCATTGGCTCCTGCTTCTATCAATCAACTGCTGTGAGGGGGCGGTATCAAGCTGCTTGGTGTGTTAATAAATGCCCATAGAGAGGCTTGGTAGCAAGCCCACAGGTGTCACCAGGAAGCGGTGTCCTATAGGGGTGCACTGAGATGAGAAAAGGAGGAGCTGAGAGTGCTTGCAGGGGACCTCAGAAGAGGTTTGGGGCCCCCCTGTGTAATATTGCACAGAGCAGGTAGGATATAACATGTATTGTATGTTGTGTTTTTAAAAACAAAACAAAATTAAAGCCTTTACAACTGCCTTCAGAATGCATGATGTTATATTGGAGGAAAGCCAGTGAGCCACATGCTTCCCACACCCATGACTACTGCTTCCAGCAGGGAAGCAAAGGGAAGGCAAATATTTGTAGCTGTGGAAAGCCACTTTTCCCTCTTAATTATGCAAAGCACATGTGCTCTTAAATAAGTAAAATTCATCTTTGGATATTTTTTTATGGGCTTAATTAGAATTTTAAATCTATTTATTAAGCCCCTTTTTCTTGTGCAATGCTGTAACTTGATATGTACAATGTTAAAACCTGTATTACTGTTTAAAAATGAGTAACATATGCTGTTTAAGAATGTTTTACTAGCTTTTTGTTTGGGTTCCAAATAGAATAAAACGTCAATTGTCAGTCAAAGTACTGGATAAAATTAACATTTTGACCCATAAATGCCAAACTTTTTTGGATAAGCAGTTCCACCATTGTGCAGTATTTTGCCACTGTCCTAAAAACCTTGTTTCCTCTTGAGTGGCCTTTATGTTTTTGTCAGTGTGTACTTGTCCCTCACCACTTAGCCTTTTGCAGGGAGTCTGTCATCTGTCAGTGCAAAAATCCACTATACTGGGGCCTACCTTATGACCTTTTATTCCACATTTTGCTGAGATAAAACGATTACATGCTGTCTAAAACATGGGGCTCTTGCTTGGTAATGCTGCCAGGTCCCCCCCCCCCCCAAAAAAAAAAATCCCGTTGGTTAACATACACTTGTGAAATCTGTTTTGTTTTACCTTAGACTTTAACCTGTGTTTTTTTTTTTTTTTTTTTTTTTTCTATGCTCAGATTTGCATTACAGTATTTTCAGACAGCTTCACCAGTATTCCAAAGACTATTTCTGGAAAGCTGTGATACCAGTACAGTTCGCTATGGGCGGCGACGGATGAAACTGCGAGACCTTATGGAAGCTGCTTTCAGATTTTTGCAGCAGGAAAAATCCTACTTTAAAGAAATGTGGGACTGGAGCGTCTGTGTACCTCTGCTAAAAAGCCATGACTTAGCTGTCCGATGGTATGTGTTTATTCTCCATTTTTATTGTTGAATGGATTTACTGTACTAAACTGCTATTTATCAAAGCATGATTTTGTATTTTTATTTTTCATCCAGGAATTTCATGTTTAGCAATTTTAATTTAATTTACATGTTTTTTTCTAAGATGAGATAGAGTAGACATATGGTAAAGATGGTCTTTTATGTAAACTTAAAGAACTCTAGGATAGGCAGAAAAATCACCCATTTACCCCCCCCCCCCCCCCCCACACACACACACACAGAAAATACTTACCATTTAGGATAAAAGTCTAATTGAATTTCCATGCCCTCACCTGTAATTCAAAAGATAACCGCATCTGCTCTGCAAAGGAGGAGGTGAAACAGCAGGGATTACATCATATCCTCTCCTCTCTCTGCAGTAAAAAACTAATTCCCATCAACTACAGGGAATTGTAGTGAATGTGGGCAGGTACACTAGGCCTGTACATGTTGAATGTTTCTGTCTGTCCACCCACCACTGCAAGTGGGGCTGAATTACATCACTGTTTCATTGAGAGAACTACAGAAGGGATGTGCCAAGACCAATACCTGTTAGAATAGGAGGCATAGCAGCCACTGGTCTTGCAAAAAGGAAACCAAAGCGAACTAACAGTTTGATTTGAAATTTCCCAGAATTCATCTGAACTTAGTTCAGGCATGCAGGCAGGAGGGTGTGTTTACCTGCGAACCCCTCCTCCCAGATGATAGAGAAAATGTCTACAAAACCTCCTGTGATGTATGATGTTATTTTGGCCTGAGACCGAAACCAGGTATCAACTGAAGAAATAAGAAAAAAAAAATAGTTTGAACAATTTTTAAATATAACTTTCTTGTTTTTACTAATGCTAATTTAAAAAATGGTTAATGTTGATTGAGTGTTTAGTTCTGCTTTAAGTCCTCTTGTGCACGGCCATAAGGTTTTGGGTGTTAAGTGTGTAAGACATTTGATGTGATGTCCAGCAGGCAGCTGCAGCATATTTTTCCCCTTAAGAATGCTTTACAGAAAACTCACGTGTAAGCAACAGCATGTACTCTTGCATGTATATAGCCAAACTTCCAAAATTATAAAATGTTATGGTATGGAAAATGCGCCTATAAATGTGTGCTAGTACACACCAGTGCCATAGTTATGCATGCACAGCTTATTCTGTAATGCAATTCTATCAGCAAAAATGATATGCAGCTGTAGTTCCCAGATGCTATAACCGCAGATGGATTTTTCACTGCATACCTGTGTGCTACACTTTATAAAGAGGCCTATGTTGATTGAACCACCACGTTAAATGTTTTTCATTTGAAATTGGTGGGTTTAGTAGGCTGGTAGTTCTCTATATCTCTCCAGACTCCAGTTGCAGGCATTCCACTGAGTAGTTTGTATCTTATACAAGAGCCAGCTCTTTAACATTGCATTCTCTTTCGAGGAGTGATGTTTGATCAGGGATAAATCACTGCTGAGTCTTAAAAAAAAAAAAAAAAAAAATTCCAATGTGGAAGCCGCATCCATCCAGTGCTGCATCTGTACCTTGCTTTCTCTGAAATGAGAACTGAGCGATCAAACATCACTGATCGCTCCGTTCTCCCCCTTTGCTCTGAACAGAGAGTGGTGACTATCAGTCACCAACAGTTTGCTCTGCCCCTCCAGTGCTCACTAGAGCACTGGACTGTGTAGGGGGCAAAAGGGGCTGGCTCATGCTCTCGGCAGATCGCTGAGAGGCAGAGCTAAGTACTGGTCCAGGCTTCTGGGTGGATCCTGATCATATGGTCAGAATCTTTTCTTCCCCTTCCATGGTGGAAGGGGAGAAAATTGCTTAATCTATGGCTTGCTTTAGAGTTTTGTAGACAGATTAATTTCTGTAGACAAATGAATGGGAAGTTTTCAGAATTTGAGAAGGAAACTTTGTTCCATCTGCTTGCTGTGCAATTTAGCTGTTTGCTTTAAGTCATTGGTGATCTCTCGATAAGAGGGTGCCTCAAGTGTAGCCCCCAACATCACCAAAGGGTTGCACATAAAATTCCGTGAATAGGCATTTTTGAAGAGTGCAGGCACATGACAAGATATATTCAGAATATGGGCATGGGAAGAGATGGCTAGAAACTGTGAACATAAGAGGCAGCCAGAGATTGGAGACATATATTACACAAAGCTGTTAGAAATCACCGCTATAACAGGGCAATAAGGAAACACAGATTAGTGTCTGCAGGAGCTCTGTAGGCTGTGATTCCTTTTTGTTACACCAAACAGGTTTTGTGTTTTTTTTTTTTTTTTTTTTTTTTTTTTATCTGGTACGCTTCTGAGTATCAGTAGTGTTTGGACCAGTAAGAGTACAGAACTTGCAAAAGATTATTTAAAAAATAGCATTCTAACAGTATAGGTATTACATAAAACTGTAATAGATGTAGTTAGTATTTAGCAAACAGATGTAAACCCAGATGATCATGATTTTATCCAGGTATCTCCAATTTGTTTCTCAGGGACAATGCCCGCTTCTTTAGGGAGAACTGCTACAGGGTTCTATGAATTATAAACAAAATGTACAATACCAATATCTGTTCGGTACATCCATAGACAGGCAGAAGTATCCACTTTGATGTATCCATATCAAGATAATGCCATTAACAATATTAACTGTTATGAATGCAAAACTATAAGGCAATTTTGGTCAGAGGGCCAAAGCCGCAGCCACTATATAATGGAGGAAAAATGGAACACCTTAAATGATGTATACATTGTAAAGGTATACAGATGGTTAATACTATTTAAGAAAACTAACGAAGAAGAAAACTATAGATATCTCAGATAGTGGTTTGTGTATAAAAACATCTGCATATAAGATCAATCCCCAGCCCTTTTAACCAATTCAATACCGTGCAATTTTACACCTTCCTGCCCAGGCCATTTTTTCAGGTTTCAGCGCTCTCACACTTTGAATGACAATTGCGCAGTCATACAATATTGTACCCAAACTAAAATTTTATCATTTTCTTCACACAACTAGAGCTTTCTTTTTGTGGTATTTAATCATCGCTGGGGTTTTTATTTTTTGCTAAATTAACAAAAAAGTCCGAAAATTTTGAAAAAAAACCCACGTTTTTCTTTGTTTCTGTTATAAAAGTTTGCAAATAAATAATTGTTCTTCATAAATTTAGGTCGAGATGTATTCTACTACATGCCTTTGGTGAAAATAACTCAAATTAGGATGTATTTTTTAGTTTGTAGGACAGTTATAGAGTTCACAAACTATGGTATAGATCTGAATATTGATCAATCCTGAAGTACTGACAGCCAATCTAATTTCTTGAGGTCTAGGAATGTCAGAATAGTACAGATATCCCCCAAATGACCACTTTTTGCAAAGTAGACAGTCCGACGTACTTCATAAGAGGCATGACAAGTTTTTTGAAGTTGTATTTTTTTTGTCATTTTTCGGAAAATTAAAAAATAGAAAAAATTTCACTATTTTTTTTTTTTTTTTACATACTGTCACCAGTGCAGTACAGCGTCATCATATAACTGGCATGGCGGTGATCAGGGACACTGACTGGTGACAGTGTGAAAAAAAAAAAATATATATATATTTTTTTTAAATTTATTTTTTTTATTTTACATTTTTTATTAATTTTTTTTTTTCTTTTTTTTAAGATTTGTTTTTTCATATTCCACTATGTCCAAAGTATCACAATGTTACCATAGTAACATTGTACTACTTTGGGGAAGTGATCAGTATTTTTTTTTTTTTTTACACAATTTGCTTATAGCAAAGAATTACTTTGCTATAAGCAAGCATTTACCTGAATAACATCGATTCATTCAGGTTTTTTTTTTTTTTTTTTCTTTGTGCTTAGCTGTGATTTGGCCACAGCTAATCACATGACATGTGCATGTGACTAGCTGTGACCATTCACAGCTAGACACTAGTATACAATGGATGGCTTGAATGAAGCCATCCATTGTATACAACTGTCATGTGACCTGCTGTAATAGGTCACATGGTACCGGCAACGGGGGCCGGTACTCAGATCTGTCATCGGCCGTGTCCGAGGTACACGGCCGGTGACAGATCGCGCCGCTGTGCAAGCGCGCGAACTGCGAATGTGCTGGAGGACTCCATATGGCGGCCTCCTGGAAAGCTAATACATTTTTTACGGACGCCATTTGGCCATAGGCCGGGCGTCAAATGGTTAAAGTTCAAGAAAGGTCCCATACATTTAGACATTTTGAGTCTAAAATGTACTGAAATATAATGTTTTATATGGTTTCCATCCCCAATAACTATCATCTATTTGTGTGGGAAGGAAGTTCAAACAAAACCACACCCCTACTCCCCAAAAATTGAAATGTACATTTAGGGAGTAGGGGTGTAGCTTAAACTTCCCACACAAATGGATGATAGTTATTATACTTTTGGGATGGCAGAACCCTGTAGCAGTTCTCCTTGAAGAAGCTGGCATTGCCCCTGTTGGAGATACCTGGATAAAATTATGATCATCTGCGTTTTATACCTGTTTGTTTTTATGTAGTTAAAACCTACAGTAGATTTAATTCATATTTAACAAACGGGAGGGCACAAACGCCTTGTGCATTACCAACGATTTATTGTTCACAAAAAAAAGATGCCAAATGGATACAAGTGCAAAGTAAAATTGCATATAAACCACAAAATGCCACAGCAGAGGGAATCGCGTGTGTCCATGCAACATATCCATGTTGGGCTGGCAAGTTGCCTCCTTCCTCAGAGCTATGCATCAGCTTGCCTGTCCAGTTGGGTTGCATGGACACACGTGATTGCCTTTGCTGAAGCATCTTGTGGTTTATATGCGATTTTACTTTCACTTCTGAGTATCCATTTGTCATCTATGCGAACAATAAATCGTTCGTAATGCACTAGGCGTTTGCGCCCTCCTGTTTTGTTCTTTTTGTTGTTTTTACAGGATTTCCTCTGAGGGCAGCATCTACTACACATTGCAAAGTTCATGATCCATTGTATATCATACATCATTTGTGGTCATCTTTCTCTTTGGTTAGACCTCTGAGTGCTGATATTTACAGAGTTTTTTTCTACTGCAGTTTTATGTAATACCTATGCTGTTGGAATGCTATTTTTAAATTGATGTGGTACCTTAAAAGTCTTAGTAGTGTTAGTTGGTAGGGTATTTTTTGGATTTCAGTTTCTTTTCGTATTGATGTTGTACCGTAAAACCATATGGACTTTGAGTCTTATTGTTGCAGCCTCCTTTTAAACTCCTGTTTCTAGTGTTTGTATTGGACAATTTGTGCGGATTATACAGTTATACATACATGTAGTCAGTGGAGTGGCTCACTTTCTTTTAAGATCAGCCAAACTGCATGTTTGATCTTGGGCTTTATCAGGTAAGGCATGTTCTACAAATCCCCCCGGCCAAATGGGAGATGCACAATGCAGACATATAGTACTTAACTGCTCTATTCATTTTGGTCCAATATTTATTGTTTTGAGATTGTAGTAGCAGAAGCGTGTAAAGCCAGTATTTTGTATCAGACAGATTTGGATTGACCCTGAATTAAGATGCTTTTTATTTCAGGTACACTGCCCATTGCCTGGCTTTGGTTACTTCTATGTCTGATGAAAACAAGCAGGCCTTTTTGAAGAAATTGTTTGGTACAGATGAGCTAATGCATTTCAAACTTCAGTAAGTAGCTTTTGTCCATGTCACTACAGTTTGTACATACTTAAGAGAAAAATAAATAGATTACATTTTTTTTTTCCTCCCCTCTTTTCCAGGCTACTGGATGAGTTGCACAATCAGAATATTGAGCAGGGTCTTTTATTAACCAACACGGAGAAGTTCTTGTGGTGTAAAAACAAGAGCCAACAGTACACACAAGGTCAAGTTGTGTACAGTGACCTCTGTTCACGAGTTGTGCCTGTTTGTGGATTTTTACTTCCTAAAAAAAATGTGAAGAGCAAAGAGCAAGTGAGTAAAGGGAGTTGCAATTTGCCCATTTTGTGCCTAAAGAACAATATACCAAGTGTCCACAATGGAGACTTCTTATAAAATGTAAAAGTATACTAGAGTATGCAGGCATGAGTTGGCTACTGCATCCTTTTTCCAGGTAAATGACTTGGTGTATCAAAGCCAGAGTGTATTGCAGCAAGATCTATCTATTAATCTAATCTGTCGCTCTGGCTCTTTTTCTCCTCCGCTTGTTCAATTAAGCTTTAGCAATAAAACCTGGAAACGGATTGGTTTCTATGCAGAAGTGCATGAGTTTTTGAGTGAACCAGCTTTAATAAATAAACCCATGTGACAATAAATCACAAAACTGAAAACAGGGTTAGTTTGACAGCTCTGTGTATGTATACTATACTGACTATTGGTGGCAATGCTACTTATCCTTGGATCACCACTATTTGCAATGTTAATCAGGAAAGGAAAACATTTGTCTAAAATATATTGATCTGATGCATAAAACATATGTAAGGGGGGAGATCCATGCAGGGCCTATAAAACACCTATGGATAGATGTTGGGCGTTCAAAAAAGGCTTTCATCAGTATACCTTGCTATCATAGGAAAAAATGTTTGTATTCCGAATTGAAAGACCTGTGTAAAGTACCCTTTGTAAGGCTTTCTGATTTAGTTTTCTTATATATAGCATCACTGTTGTGCTTTTGTAATAAAGTGATTGTAAATGCTCAAATTGTTTTAATTAAAATATTAAACATACTTAAAATGGTTTTGCACAAAGAGGCCCTGAACCTCCTTTTCTGGGTTCTTCCCGCTGGCACTCAAGGCTGCTTCGCTTTCCTGTGTGCTGCCATAGCCAGCTGCTTGCTATGGGGGCACATCTGTAGGCTCACTTTCGAATAAAGCTGTGTGGATCTGTAGCCACAGTGCAGCTGGACTCTGCTCCAGGATTTGACTGACAGTAGCAGGAGCCTATGGCTCCCGCTGCTGCCCAGGTGCCTGCAAGAAGAGGAAGAGAGAGGAGAGCGAAGACCTGAAGCTGGGAGAGTGCTGAATCCACTGACAGGCTCAGGTGAGTTTTTTTTTTTTTTTTTTTTTTTTATCAATGGGAAATAGTGTAGTTTTTTTACTTTTTTTAATACAGAGAATGCATTACTGTAAAAATATAATAAGGCTTTAGAGCCACTTTAAAGAGTTATTTATATTTTTGTATTGTAGGAAATTCATAAAAGTCCACTTGTATTGGTGGAGTCTACTTGCCGCAGTCTTCAAAGTCTTGCCCAGGCAGTTTCCTTTGAGAAAGCTGTGCTGTTGGAAGGACCCATAGGTTGTGGAAAAACTGCATTGGTGGAGCATTTGGCCACAGTGACTGGACGTTTGAAACCACCTGATATATTCAAGGTTCAGCTTGGAGACCAGACTGATAGTAAGGTAAGGTCATGATAAACCGTATGGTTGTAGTAGGATATTGATAAGCTATAATGGTGTGTCTTGGGCATCAGTCTGTGCTTCCTTGTACAAGGTGCTCATTTACGGTCTTCACAGCTTGATATTAGGAGCGTGTTCATACATTGATGATGACTATGTTCTCTACTTCTTAGATGTTGCTGGGAATGTATCGGTGCACAGATGTTCCAGGAGAGTTTGTGTGGCAGCCAGGAACATTAACACAAGCTGTTGCTCATGGACATTGGATTTTGCTTGAGGATATTGATTATGCACCTTTGGATGTGGTATGTAGTGTTTTCATTTGTAAATGGCTAGCATTTTATACTGACTATATTATCAACAACTGTATGTTTCATTTGTAGTCTGGTAATTTACTTTATGATCGATTATCATATATATTTTTTAAGTTTTTCATTTTTGGGATGTTAACCTCCCTGGCGGTATTCCCGGGTGTAGTTTGGGGTAAACTTTGAGTACCAAAAGCGGTAACCCCGAGCTACACTGGGGAATACCCTGCAGCATTGCTCCGTGATCCCTGTTTCACTTACCTTGTCCTGCACTCCCACGACGTCCCCCCTGCAGTATCCCCAGCCATCTCCTCCAGCCGATGCTGGCATCCGTCATCCGGGTTCTGGTCCCTGCGATCGTCGGGACGTACGAGGGGTGGAACTGGCGGGAAATTCAAAAATTTTAGAAGTGACATTCACCCAATACACTAAAATCACATAGTAAAACATTACTGTGTCAAAGCATTTCACATACATTTTGTCCCTACTGCTTTGTCCTGTGCCCTGCCTGCATTTTTACTGTTCTTTCTGCCTGGAAACCGAGAAATGTCCATGGCGTCCAAAAAGCATCCCTTTGTTAGGTTAAAAGTGGTTTTAGACCAGCTAGAAAACAGCGATAGTAAATCAGAACCACTTGCAGAATTGAGTGATAATGATTCGTGGGGAAATTCGTCATCAGACACTGAAAACGATTTTGCGACTAAGCTCAGTAAGTGCGAACTTGGTGCTATATTTCAAATTTCAGTGTTTTTGGTTTGATTACATTATTGAATTAAATTTATTATATTTTATATTATTATTTTATAATTTATGATTTCGTGTTTCAAATTTTATCATACCCTGGATGTTTACTAGACTCTTGTTCGGACAGATTTCAGTGAGTTATTCCTAAAAATTACAGGACTACAATAAAAAGACATTTCCATGCAAAAAAATGTACCGCTTTGAGCACAGAAATATTGACCTAATCATACCGCTAGGGAGGTTAAACTTGCCTTAAAACAAAGCCCTCCAGCGACCCGCTGTCACTGCTGTAGAGGCTTCCATGTTGGCCAGTCTTCCTTCTGGGTTTGCGAGCTCTGGCCATCTGACTGACTGAGCTGTGATGACGTCACTCCCGCCCATGTGCACTGGAGTCTCGGGACACGGCACAGTGCTCTGAAGGAACGGCATGGGTATGCTGTTCCTTCAGAGCTCATGCATAGGCTGTAAGAAAAACCAAAAACTAAAAAAAAAAAAAACGAATATCTCCTTTAACAGTGCACGTTTAGGAAATACTCCTATTCATTTTACCTACAGGTAAGCTTTATTATAAGCTTACTTGTAGGTAAAATGTAACAGTGGCTTTACTACCACTTTAAAAAATGTCTGCTGCACTGAAGAGCACAGTGACCTCCATAATTTTCAAATGGAAGACGTTTGGCACAACCAGGATTCTTCCAAGAGCTGGTTGCCCAGCCAAACCGAGTAATTGGGGGAGAAGGGCCTTATTAAGAGAGGTGACCAAGAAACCTGTGGTCACTCTGACTGAGGTGTAGAGATGGGATGAGTTCCACTGCAGCCCTCTACCGATCTGGACTTTTATGGCATAGTGGCTAGACAGAAGCTTTTCCTCAATGCAAAACGCAGGTTTGGAGTTTTGCAAAAAAGCACCTGGAAGACTCTTGGTATGGAAGAAAAAGTACATTATTCTTCTGTACGGTTGTCTGGCTTTGGTCCATCGGAAAAAAAAAAAAAATCATTTCATTGTCTGGATGTAGTTTGGACTTAATTCATCTGGTCGTGTTTTACATAATCAAATTTTACAGGGTGGACATCCCACAGTTTGAATTTCGGCAAGTCCCTGCTGCACCGACCAAATTGTGATCAGTGTGGACCCAGCTTTTGGGCTTGTGTTTAAAACAGTCTGGTTATCTTGTGCTTTGAGAGCACACTTCTAAATATTCAAAGTCAAAACTAAGGTTCTGCTTGCAAAGTTGTTTGGTGTTCTCAGATAAAAGCCTTCAGAACTGACTATAGGAAGCACTCACTATTTGACCCTAAACATGACATTTTAGATACGGTACATTGGATCTTTAATTCTTCTAGACCTTCGCTAATTTAAAAAAATTTTTTACATTAGATATCTGTGTTAATTCCGATTTTGGAAAATGGTGAATTGCTAGTTCCTGGAAGAGGAGACAGCATAAAAGTGGCTCCAGGTTTCCAGCTGTTTGCCACCAGGAGGTAAGAAGATTACTTTTATATTTGTACAATCTGTGTTTGCAGGCTTATTCCCGAAGGCATCGCAAAGAAAAGTTTTAATGTGTAAAGTTCAGTAAATTATAGCAACTGTCGGATTTATTTCAAAGTGTTATTAGAAGGGTTATACAACACTAATACAGCACAGTGCAAATTGTTATACTCTCTGATAGTTCCAAGTTCGTAGAATCATAAAATATATTCACTAGTGTCTTAGTTTGATCATGGAAGAACCATGTTTGTGTGTCAATGGTAAGTTAGATGTGTTGAATTATTTTATGCGCATCTTTACAGTGTGTAGGATGCAGATTGTGAAAGGCCTGTGTGAGCGTGAAAGGTGTTCCCTGTGCCTAAGATGACAGTTAACAGTGTGGGTAAAAAACAAATTTAGCTGAGAAGATTGGATAGGTAAGGACTAGATTTTCAACAGGTTTAGTAGAGATCTGTTCTATACTCTACAGTATGTTTGGATAAAAATTGAATGGGTTAGGGCTTATGTCTGTTCCTTAAAGCCGCATGAGTTTATAAAATCAATTGAAGACATGACCAACGTGTTGATTAAAGGTGTTCTTCTGTTTTGAGATGGGGAAAGCCAGTTCCTTTATCCTTGGAAATTTGAAATATTCTATTGTACGTTCCGTTATAAACAGGCCTACTGTTGTGTTGCTGTGTCTAGAAATACATATGTTGTAGCATTTTCCTAAAGCATAAATATCTATTTACAGGCTACTAAGCTCTAGCTCTGGTGCTTGGTACAGACCACCAAATAGCCATGCCTTATTGCTTGATAAATACTGGACCAAAGTACAAGTGGATAACATGAGCAGAAATGAACTAAAAGAGGTACAGTAGTAATGGTGCAAATATTAGTTGCTGAACGTAAACAACGATATACAGTATACAATTTGTTTTTGTTTGGAGTAATATAGCTGCAACTGAGTACTTTTCCTTATTTGGTTAATGCCAAGTTGTCATAATAATTTTTTATATTTAAATTGTACCTGTCACAAACCAGGGAATTTCAAAATTGCCACAAAACTTTAGCAAAAGTTGCATTTCATGAAAACCTATTTGTACATCCGCTTGCCTTGACTCTACCCCTCCCCCTTCCCAGACTGTTTTTTTTTTTTTTTTTTTTTTTTTTTTTTGTGTGTGGGGTCTCATTGACTAATGCTATTAAAATATATGGGTGGAAGGATAGTTAATTATATGTTCTAGTCTGTATCTCCAAATTGTTGACAACTATTGAGTCTACTAGAGTAGATGGCAACTGTATATGAGCAATATGTACCGTATTTTTCGCTCCATAAGACGCACCTGACCATAAGACGCACCTAGGTTTTAGAGGTGAAAAACAAGAAAAAATATTCTGAACCAATGGACTGCAGACACGGACTACGGGAGAGATGACCAGAGACTGCGGACATAGTACAGGAGATGAGCAGAGACTGCAGACACAGTACAGGAGATGAGCAGAGACTGCGGACATAGTACAGGGGGGATGACCAGAGACTGCGGACACAGTGCAGTGAGATGACCAGAGACTGCGGACAGTGCAGGAGATGACCAGAGAGACTGCGGACACAGTGCAGGAGATGACCAGAGACTGCGGACACAGTGCAGGGATGACCAGAGACTGCGGACACAGTGCAGGAGATGACCAGAGACTGCGGACACAGTGCAGGAGATGACCAGAGACTGCGGACACAGTGCAGGAGATGAGCAGAGACTGCGGACACAGTGCAGGAGATGAGCAGAGACTGCGGACACAGTGCAGGAGATCACCAGAGACTGCGGACACAGTACAGGGCAGAGATGACCAAGAGACTGCGGACACAGTGCAGGAGATCACCAGAGACTGCGGACACAGTGCAGATGGGGATGACCAAGAGACTGCGGACACAGTGCAGGGGATGACACAGTGCAGGAGATGAGCAGAGACTGCGGACACAGTGCAGGGGATGACCAAGAGACTGCGGACACAGTGCAGGGGATGACCAAGAGACTGCGGACACAGTGCAGGGAATGACCAGACTGAGACTGCGGACAGTGCAGGGAATGACCAGAGACCTGAATTTTGCGGACAGTGGCCGCTTCCCGGGCCGGCTACCGGGCTTCTGTGACAGCTGGGTGCCCACTGCGCATGTGCGAGAAGCACTGCGCTTTGTGAATGGCCCGGCGCCTTCTGGGACCTTTCATGTGTCCCTAGAAGACACCGGATCATTCACAAAGCGCAGCACATGCGCAGTGGGCACCCGGCTGTCACAGAAGCCAGCGCGGGAAGACTGTGCAGCGCTGGAGCGAGGAACAGGTAAGGCCCTGCAGGGGAGAACAGCTGAGCGGCCGGCCCGGTATTCTGACATGGTAGCCGCAAAAATACCGGACCGGCCGCTTTATATTCGCTCCATAAGACGCACTGACATTTCCCCCCCTTTTTTGGGGGGAAAAAAGTGCGTCTTATGGAGCGAAAAATACGGTAATTTGTAGCTAGCAAGTAGTGAGCCTAAACTCTGTTTCACCAATTGACCTCCGAATGATTTATCCCCCTTAAATGACCAGGCCATTTTTTGTGATGCAGCGCTGCATTACTTTAACGGACAATTGCATGGTCATGCAACCCTGTATATATAAAAAAAAAAATTGTATTTCCCCTCCCCCGTAAATAGAGCTTTCTTTTAGTGGTTTTTGATCACCTCTGTGTTTATATTTTGCACTATTAACTGCTTGCAGTCCAGCCACAGTGTTTATACTGCGGCAGGGCGGCACCGCTGCGCAGAACGACATTTTAATACTTCTGCAAAACAGGTAGGGGGCGCGCGCGACCACCATACCTGTACCGCTGATCGCGGCCGCGAGTGTCAATCACCGGGTCCCGGCCGGTCATTACCCGCCGGGTCTTGGCAATCACTGACATGGAGCACGGCTGCAGTGTTTACACTGCAGCCCTGCTCCCTGTCAGTTCAGCACGCTGATCCTATCTCTCGGGATCAGTGTGTTCCTCTGAAGCACACACCCCTGCCCCCTAGTAAAAACACTCCAATCACACAGTTAACCCTTTCATTGCCTAAAAAAGTTAACCCCTTCCTCCCCAGTGCCATTAGTACAGTGTCAGTGGTTTTTTTTTTTTTTTGCACTGATCAATGTCCTCCCCTGTCAGAATGTCTGCCGCAGTCCCGCCATAAGTCGCTGATCGCCGCCATTATTAGTATAAAAAAAAAAATAAAAAATCCAGTATCTATACCTCCATTTGTAAACGCTATAACTTTCACGTAAACCAATTAATTTACATGTGTGGGTTTTTGTTTAGCAAAGACATGTCGCAGAATACATTTTGGCCGAAATTTATGCCGAAATTTGATTTTTAATTTTTTTTATTTGACATGTTTTATAGCAAAAAGTCCAAAATATTATTTTTTTTTTTTTCTCAAAATTGTCAGCTTTTTTTTTTTTTTTTTTTTTTTTTTTAATACAAAAAATAAAAAACGCACAGGCAATCAAATACCAAGGAAATAGCTCAATTTGTGGGGAAAAAAGGACGTAAATTTAATTTGGGTGCAGTGTTGCATGACCGCGCAATTGTCAGTTAAAGTAACGCAGCAACGCAACACAAACCGCTTCTGTAACCGCTTCCTGACCGCCCTATAGCAGAAATACTGCTACAGGGCAGCATGGGTGCACATATATATATATGTGTGTGTGTTTCGCGCTTCCGTGGTTTTCACACCCTTCCCAGATAGCGTCAGATTGCCCTTCAGTACACCAGTCATCACATTTAACCCCTTGATTGCCAGGAACACGCTCATGCACAATAAACCTCCATTGCTAGTATAGTGTCTGAACGGATCAATATCTTTGATCAGATCAGCACTATACCAGCGTTCACATTAGTATAGTGTCCCCAAAAATGCACCGTTAGCGGGGTCAACCCTGGCACCTGCCAGCACCTGTATTTAGCACCTACGCTTACCCTCCCCCCCTTCTCCCCCAGCAAGTGCAGTGTCAGTAGGTCACTGTCACTTTACATATTACACACAAAACCGCAGTGTTCGCAGAATCAGGCCTGATCTCTGTTAGCACTTGTCAGTAAATTTTGATGACTCTCATATGCAGCAGAGTGCCAGTACTAGTGCCACGCTACCTTTTGGTGAACTGGCGAGTACTAGTGGGCCTAGTACATCCTGGTCTTTGACATATCTCTTTGATTGTAAGCTCCCAGGATCAGGACCTCCTAACCCTCTTGTATTGAACTGTATTGTTCTGTATTGTCTCCCGTTATATTGTAGCGCTGAGCAAATTGTTGGCACCATAAATCCTGTATAATAATAATAATAATACCAGTACTGCAGTATGACTTGGCGACGTGGTGAGTCCGATAAGTGCAGTACAAGCTGGTGCGGTGGCCAGCACAAGTATTGTCCCACAACCACAAAGAATTTGCACACAGGCCGTAGAGCTCCTAGTATCCTTCCGGATGTGCTTGCAAATCCCGATTGACAGCCCACAACTTCTGCTGCACCCGTACTTCCCCTATTCACTGCCCAACCCGGAATTCAGGTGGAAATGGCAAATTTAACTACTCCCCTTGATTTTTGGAGCTGTTTTTCACAGAATATCAGTATGCGTTGATTGTGTGGATCAAAACAATTTTATCGCCGCCAACCCAAATTCAAACCTTGCCAGACCAGTCGCATGGAAACTCATTACGGTTTTCAAATTTACATATTTTTTTTGGGCCTAACCCTCAACATGGGTATTACAAAAAAAAATGAATTGCGATTGTATTGGTCTGCAGACCCGATTCATCATATGTGTTCTCTGCTGCAATGACCAGCCAAAGATATGAGAGTATGTGTTTTATGCATTTCAATGGCAATACACTGTCATCCTCGGGGTGACTCTGAATTTGACCGGCTCCACAAAATTCAGCCTCTCGCAAATCACCTTAACCAAAAATTTGCAGATGTCTGTACTACCCAGCAAAAAATCTGCACTGATGAGTCCATGATTAATTTTTCTGGCCGCCTTGCATTCAAAGAATTTCTCTCCTGCAAGCGTGCCAGATATGGGGTCAAGATGTAGAAGACCTGTGAGAGGACAACAGGCTATACTTATAAGTTTTGGATTTACGAGGGAAAAGATAGTCACGAGGAGCCCCCCGGATGCCCAGACTACATAATGCCCATTGAAGTTATAGGGGATATTTGCACAGTGTAAAAAATAATTAAAAAAATCAAAATAACTAGAAAATGCGCGCACTCCTGTGTGCACAAGCCTTGACCCTGTGCCGGTATGTAAACAGCAGTTGCGCCATGCATGTGAGGTATTGCCGTGAACATCAGATCAAGGGCAGTAATTCTAACACTAGACCTCCTCTGTAAATCTAAAATGGTAGCTTTTAAAGTGTTGCCTATGGATATTAAAAATGTATGCAGTTTGTCGCCATTGCACGGGGCATGTGCAGTTTTAAAGCATGTCATGTTTGGTATCTATTTACTCGGCATACCATCATCTTTTATATCTTACCAAATAATTGGCCAATATATTATGTTATTGTGCATTAAAAGTAAAAAAGTGTTTTTTTTTTTTTTTTTTTTTTAAATTTGGCTTTGAAAAATCGCTGCGCGAGTACTATGTGCCATAAAAAAATTGTAGTACCCACCATTTTATTCACTAGGGTGTCTGCTTTAAAAAAAATATATAATGTTTGGGGATTTAAATTAATTTCCTAGCAAAAAATACATTTTTTTCTTGTGAACAAAGTGTCAGAAAAGGCTTTGTCTTCAGGTGGTTAGAAGAGTGAATGATGTGTGGCATAAACTTCTAATGCTGGGCATAAAATGCCCCCATCCCCCAAAATGACCCCTTTTTGGAAAGTAGTCACCCCAAACTATTTGCTGAGAGGAATGTTGAATCAATAGAAGAATTTATTTTTTTTATCACAAGTTTTTGGAAAATGACAAAAATAAATTTTTTTCTGTTTTACACAAAATTGTCACTTAAATAATTTACTGCTCACACATGCCATGGTTATATGTGGAATTACTCCCCAAAATACATTCTGCTACTTCTCCCGAGTATGGGGGTACCATATGTGAGACTTTTTGGCAGTCTAGCCAAGTACAGGACCCCAAAATCCAATAAGCACCTTCAGGCTTTTAAAGGGCTTTATTTCCTCATTACACTTCCAGACTACCTATCACAGTTTCGGAGGCCCTGAAATGCCAGGATAGCACCTAACCCCCCCAAATGACCCCTTTTTGGAAAGTAGACGCCCCAAGCAATTTTATAACAAGCACTGTAAGTATTTTGCAGATCTCATTTGTTGCCACAAGTTTTTGGAAAATGAAGAAAAAAAAAAATTTTTTTTTTCTATTTTTTTTTTTTTTTTTTTTTTTATATATATATATATATATATATTTTAAAACCTTGTGAGAAAAAATGAGATCTGCAAAATACTCACCATTCTTTTTAAATTCCTTGGGGTGTCTACTTTTCAGAAAGGAGTCATTTGGTGGGGTTTGGGGCTATCCTGGCATGTCAGGGCCTTCAAAACTGTGATAGGTAGTGAGGAAGTGTAATGAGGAAGTTACGCACCTTCAGGCTTTCAAAGTGGTCATTGGATTTCAGGCTCCTGTATGTGGCTAGGTTCCCAAAAAGTCTCACACATGGTATCCCCATACTCAGTAGAAGTAGCAGAATGTATTTTAGGGTGTAATTCCACATATACCCATGGCTTGTGCGAGAAATAAATCATTTAAATGACAACTTCGTGTAAAAAAAAAAAAAAAAAAAAAAAAGTTTTTGTCATTTTCCAGAAACTTGTGGGAAAAAAAAAAAATCTTCTATGGACTCAATATGCCTCTCAGTAGATAGCTTAGGGTGTCTAATTTCCGAAAAGGGGTCATTTTAGGGTGTTTGTACTATCCTGGTATTTTAGCACCTCAAGAAATGTGATGGGCAGTCAGAAAGTAAAAGCTGTGTAAATTCCATTATCTATACCATTGTTTGTAGACACTATAACTTTCACACAAAGCAATAAATATACACTTATTGTTTTTTTTTTTTTTTTTTACCAAAAACATGTAGCAGAATACATTTTGGCCTAAATTTATAACTAACTTTGAGTTTACTTTATATTTTTTATAGCTGAAAGTAAAAAAATATCGTTTTTCTTCAAAATGTTTGGTCTTTTTTTTTTGTTTATAGCGTGAAAAATAAAGAGCGCACAGGTGATCAAATACCACCAAAAGAAAGCTCTATTTGTGTGAAAAAAAAGGACGTAAATTTCGTTTAGGTGCAGCATTGCATGACCGCACAATTATCAGTTGAATTAGTGCAGCGCCGAGTAGCAAAAAAGAGGCCTGGTCATTAAGGGGGGTAAATCCTCAGGAGCTCAAGTGGTTAAAGGACAAATCGCCTCCTGCTGTAAACATGTCCAGTGCTTAGATTAGTAGGACTTTCCTAAGCATTCAGACATGGAGCCTCTGTTGCTCGTCTTCATGAGACAGCCACATTGTCTTTCTGTTCATATGTTTTTAAAGTTCTGCCAGGCGTACTTGGACCGTGAGGTTCTTACAGCAGCACTCTGAGTTGGGTCTGTTGATCCTTGCTTTTTGGGCCTTTTGGCAGAGTTCTGTTTGCTTTGTTGCCCACCTATCTTATTGCTTAGGGATTCCCCCAGTATATCAAGCCATTGATCTGTCATACTGTACAAGAGTATAAGGCAAATGGAGTTTTGACTTATTTCTAAATTTCATGAGAGATGTACTTTGCATTGCTTGCTAAAAACCCCTTGCTGGGTTCATGGAGTTGTGTAGGGTTATAGGGGGCTCCTGGGGAAATGTCCTCAAATCTTTGCTGTTGTACAATCATCTGAAGGTAGCAGCCTATAACACTGGGTCTATGAATCCTGTGTCCTGTACTATACTCGGTCATGAAATTTACAGGCAAGTCAGTTTTTTTTTTTTTTTTTTTTTTGTTTTGTTTTCCCCCCATTTTTTTTTTTTTTTTTTTGGTTTATAGATCATATATAAAATACAAAATTGTTGAAATTAGTACAGGAATTTTAGCTATGATAAATATGTTCCATTATTTCCTTACAGGTGCTTCAAAATCTCTTTCCCAACTTGGATCTGGTTATTGACCGATTGCTAGACATATACATTCAACTTACAGGAGATAAGCATCAAATGTTGTCTGTCCTTCACTCTCACAATTCTTGTGAGACTTTCTTTCCTGAAGGTCCAAAGGCAGAAGAAAAGAAACTGAATCTTGAAGGTAGAGGAGTGTCATTAAGGTAAGTGTTATATAATCTGTAATACAAATGAAATCTATGTTCGAAGTGCAGTGAAGACTACCTAAACCCCCCAAAATATATTTATTTTCTGAAAGCATACACCCTGGAGGTATTCTGCATGTGGTACTCAAACTGTCAAACTATACGCTGAATTAATTCTAAATGGTCTGTTCTGTGATGCAGAGTGTGAGTGTAAATTAACAATGGGTAACTGATGAACAAGCCAATGGATTGTGTACTAAACCAGTGTGTTTTTTGTTGTTTTTACTTTGGAGGTCAACTGGAAAGGGTCTTTTTTTTTTTCCATTCTGGGCAAACTATCTTTAAAACCCTTAAAGCTTCTATCTTTTACACATGTGATATTTTATGCAAGGGCACATGTAAAGACTATTTGCTTGATATTGCTCTTATATGTGTGAGCTCAGGCTTCTTTGCAGTATATGTTTATTAGAATATTTGAATAATACAAAAAATTGTGTGTTATATAATTTGATCCTTTTTATAGCACCGTTGTTGCTTATAACCTTTTGCAGAGACTTACTGAAGTGGTGTAACAGAATTGCCTATAACTTTGATGGCACATCGTCAAGCACTGCTTTGGATATATTTCATGAGGTAAGATAAATTAATAAATGCATGAGAGTACCACTTTAACTGCTTGATTGTATAAAGAGATGCAAAAACTTTTTTTTGTGTTTTTATGTACCAGGCCCTTGACTGTTTCACTGCCATGCTTTCTAAACCCTGCACTAGACTCAAGATAGCTGAAATAATTGGAAGCAAATTAAATATTTCTAAGCAAAAAGTAAGTAGTTAAATGCCACTTATTCAATGTTTCATTATGCAAGGCCACGCTCTTCATTCCATATTCACTTATGTTTTCTGTGTACATTGGCTGTTAACCAAAAGTAGAAAATAATTAAAAATTAGTTATAAATTTGCATGAAGACAAGAACAAACTTTTTTTTCTGCAGCATGTCATGTTGATATTATACTTACTTATACTTATATTTCCATTGTACTAATTTAAAGTGATTGGTACATATAGATTTGAATCTTACTATATATTTTGTTAATGTTTTAAACAAGCTGATGCATTGGGATCTCAAAAGTATTTAGTATTACAGCTACACAGTGCCCCTTTCTAATTTACACACAATGTCAACTCATACCTTTTTTATACAATTATAGGCAGAATTTTACTGCCAGCTGTATAAGCCAGAGATTTCTGTCCGAGAATTGGATGTCTCTGTTGGAAGAGTGGAGATGCTTCGAAAACAAACTGATACAGTCTGTGTTCACAAGTAAGTTTGTGTTCTGTACATTAACGTTTAATCTCATAGTTGCAAAGTTAATGTTTGCTACTTTTCCACACAGTTTTCTAATAGCTATTGGATCTAGAGGTCTACAGATTGACTTTTAGACTTACTTTAGACTTGGTTTATTGTAGTAGTGATGGCAGTCGGATATTTTCCTTTGGTGCAGTGGCAAAGAATGGGTTAGCTGCACAAAGTACAGAAGCATTGTTTGTTGTTAACCACTTCAGTACTGGACACAATTAACCCCTTCCTGCCCAGGCCAATTTGCAGCTTTCAGCGCTATCGCACTTTAAATTTCAGTTGTGCGGTCATGCAACACTGTACCTATATTAAATGTTTATAATTTTTTGAAGCAGAGCTTTTTTTAGCTGGTATTTAATTATTACTGGATTTTTTATTTCTTTGCTAAACAAAAAACGAACATTTTTTTTGGGGGGAAAATGTTTTGCAAGTAAGTAATTTTTCTTCATTGGTGGGGTACTGATGGGCTGCACTGATGGGGCTGATTATCAGTTTACATGTTATCAGCTGTGATTGGACACAGCTGATCACATGGTAAAGGGCTGCTTTGATTGGCCCTTTACCGCTATCTAAAGGACACAGAGGTCACAGAGCGTGCCTGATGTATGCCAAGGAGCACGTGCAGGGGGCAGGGTTCTGGGAGGACGTCTATAGATGCCTTCCCAGAACAAGAGACACGCTGTAGCCATTCTGGCTGTAGCAAATTACTTAAGTGGTTAAGCAAAAGCCTGAAGACCGTATATGATGACTTGCCTTTTTAGAGGCTTGAATCCAGAGAACAATTAAATTCTGAAGTTAGTTTACGTATAACACAAAAAATAGTCACCCCTGGTGAGCGCCACCACCGAGACAAAATGGGAAATCTTACATTTTAAAGTTGCCATTACAGCAGGTGAGGGGAGATCTTCAAACTAGGGACAAGTATTTTGGGGACAACTGTTTAAGATGGGTTTTGTCCTCTATTCCTCTTGTGTCTCCCAAGATTGGAAGTGAAGGGCAATCTTGCCAACAGTGAAAATCAACCTGAAGGGGTTTAGACCCCCCTTACTCTAGTTTTGCGTATACTTACACTTTTACATACAGTTTTTTGCCTTTTTTGTTCACCTCAGAGCTTTCCCAAGGGCAATTAGCACAGATTACTTTAATTTGTGTTTCAAATTAAAATGGTTTTATAATCATAATGTACAGGACACGGAGGAATTTATATTCAAAACAACCGTGTCCATTTGCCCACCTATGGGCAAATGGACACTGGCCAAAAAAAGGCAGAAATCCCTACCCAGACATAACTGCTGCCAGCTCAACCAAGCCTTAGTTTTGTGCTAGGGTCTGAAAATAATGGACATGCTTCCGTTTTTCTAAAGATCTTTCGCTGGGCTTTCTTTTTCTGGCCTGCTCCTTACACCTCTGATGGGGCAGAGATTTCCCTTATCTGGATTTGTCGACATGGTCGGCAGGCCAAGAGGGACTGTACCCAAACGCCATACTCAAGAGCGGGGGTTATATGTAATGCCTGGATGGCACTGATTTCTGTGGGCAGCCATCTCTGGTCTACAGTATACCTGGCAACCTTGCTGGCATGATGCTCTACAGGTCCAGGGCAGTGATCTCCTTGAAGAGCATGCCTGCCACAATGTGTAAAAAAAAATTTGGCCTGCTGGACTAGTGAGTTCCTCTGTGTATCAGTGGAGCTTTCAGCAGTTGCCCTGACAGTGTTTCCCTGTATTTGATGCTTTTCCACTGCTTTCTATTATGGGGCAACAATAATGGTGAGGGAGCTCAAAAGGCACGGCATGGTCTGCAGTGCTAGGCAATTTTATTTTGGCCTGAGCACAGTAGGTGTGTTTTAGCTGCCTGAGCACAGTAGGTGTGTTTTAGCTGCCTGAGCACAGTAGGTGTGTTTTAGCTGCCTGAGCCATTCACTGTGGGCAGATGGGATTGCACCACTCTGGGAATCATCTGGATACAGTGCTTTCTGACTAAAGCCCTGCACAGGGTATTGGAACATTTTGTCAGCTACTGGGGATGACTGCATTATAGGTGTTTTCGTACAGTTACTCTCTGAAATTAATCTCTTGCTTTGGACAATCTTTTCAGATCAGACCAGGCAATGTTTTTCTAATCTTCTATTGTCCAATTGTGAATTGTAACCTTCATTTCCTTTTAGCTGACATGAGTGGCACCCGTTGTGGTCTCCTGCTGCTGTAGCACATCTGCTTCAAGGTTCGACATGTTGTGCATTCAGAAATGGTATTCTGCATACCTTGGTTGTAACGAGTGATTTTCATCCACACAACTGCTGCTCATTGGATATTTTCAATTTTTTCGGACCATTATCTGTAACCCCTAGAGATGGTTGCCTGTGAAAATCCCAGTAGATGAGCAGTTTATGAAATATTCAGACCAGCTCGTTTGGCACCAACAACCATGCCACGTTCAAAGTCACCTAAATCCCCTTTATTCCTCTTTCTGATGCTCGGTTTGAACGTCAGCAAGTTGTCTTCACCACGTCTAGATGCCTAAATGCAATTTTTGTTACCAAGCAATTTTACAGGTGTTCCTAATAAAGTGGTATGCATGCATGTATGTATGTATATCTCTATATCAGGTAAAATAAGCATTGAACATGTCACCATTTTTCTCAGTAAATATATTTCTAAAGGCACTATTGACATGAAATTTTGACCACATGTTGGTAACAACCCATGCAATCCATAAATACAAGCAAACTAGAAAAAAAATAAGAAATTGGGTTATGTGTAATAAAATGGAATGACACAGGGAAAAAGTATTGAACACATGAAGAAAGGGAGGTGCACCAGCTGAAATTTCAGTTATTAGAAAGCAATCCTGCCCCTTGTCAGTGTAAATTAATGTCAGCTGGTTCAGTCTCAACTAATGCCCTCTAAAAAGGTGTCTCATTACCATGGTGTCACACAAGAAACCTCTCATGATAGGTAAATGCAAAGTGCTCTCTCAAGACCTTCGCAACCGTATTGTTGCAAAACATACTGATTGCATTTGTTACAGAAGGATTTCTGATTTTTCCAGTGAGCACTGTTGGGTCCATAATCTGGAAGTGGAAAGAACATCATTTCACCATGAACCAGCCACGACCAGGTGCTCCTCGCAACATTTCTGAAGATTTGTCCAAGAGCCAAGGACCACTTGTGGAGAGCTTCAGAAAGACCTGGAATTAGCACCTGTAGTTTTTCCAAAGAAAATAAGTAATTAACTCAACCGCCATGGCCTGTATGTACTCTCACCATGAAAGACCCCATTGCTGAAGAAAAAGCATGTTGAAGCTAGTTTAAAGTTTGCTGCACAACATATAGACAAGCCTATGAAATACTGGGAGAATGTAGTCTGGTCAGATGAGACGAAAATTGAACTCTTTGGATTTAGGTACACACCATACCAACAGTGAAGTTTGGAGGTGGGAACATGTTGGTGTGGGGCTGTTTTTCAGCACACAGTGCTGGCAAATCTCATGTCATTGAAGGAAGGATGAGTGGAACAATGTACCAAGACATTCTTGATAAAAATCTGCTGCCATCTACCAGGATGATGATTGAATGAGGGTGAACATTTCAGCAAGACGATGCTCCCAATCACAAAGCCAAGGAAACTCCTAATTGGTTTTAAAGAGAGAAAATAAAGCTGCTAGAATGGCCCAGCCAATCACCTGACTTCAATCCAATAGAAAATCTATGGAAAGAACTAAAGATCAGCATTAATATAAGAGGCCCATGAAACCTTCAAGATTTGAAGACTGTGTAGAAGAATGGGCCAAAATCACACCTTAGCAGTGCATGTGACTTGTTTCTGCATACAGGAGGCGTCTTGAAGCTGCTATTACCAACAAAGGATTTTGTACGAAGTATTAAATTTCATTTAGTGTGTTCAATACTTTTTCCTTGTGTCATTCCATTTTATTACACATAACTTAATTTCTGACATCATTGAAGAAATTACACTTTGCTACAATGTAAAGTAGTGAGTGTTCAACTTGTATATTTACAGTGTAAATTTGCTGTTTCCTCAAAATAACACACATCCATTAATGTCTAAACCGCTGGCAACAAGTGAGTACACCCCTAAGTGAAAATGTCCAAATTGGGCCCAATTAGCCATTTTCCCTCCCCGGTGTCATGTGACTCGTTAGTGTTAAAAGGTCTTAGATGTGAATGGGGAGCAGGTGTGTTAAATTTGGTGTTATCACTCTCTCTCTCATACTGGTCACTGGAAGTTCAACATGACACCTCATGGCAAAGAACTCTCTGAGGATCTGAAAAAAAGCTCAACATAAAGAGACTAGGTTATAAGAAGATTGCCAAGACCCTGAAACTGAGCTGCAGCACGGTAGCCAAGACCATACAGCAGTTTAACAGGACAGGTTCCACTCGGAACAGGCCTCGCCATGGTCGACCAAAGAAGTTGGAGTGCACGTGCTCAGCATCATATCGAGAGGTTGTCTTTGGGAAATAGACGTATGGGGGCTGCTAGCATTGCTGCAGAGGTTGAAGGGGGTGGGGGGTCAGCCTGTCAGTACTCAGACCATACTCCGCACACTGCATCAAATTGGTCTGCATGGCTGTTGTCTCAGAAGGAAGCCTCTTCTACAGATGATGCACAAGAAAGCCTGCAAACAGTTTACTGAAGACAAACTGACTAAGGACATGGATCACTGGATCTATGTCCTGTGATCTGTTGAGACCAAGATAAACATCTGATTCAGATGGTGTCAAGCGTGTGTGTGGCGGTAACCAGGTGAAGAGTACAAAAACAAGTGTCTTTCCTACAGTCAAGCATGCTGGTGGGAGTGTCATGGTCTGGGGTTGCGTGAGTGCTGCCAGAACTGGGGAGCTACAGTTCATTGACGGAACTATGAATGCCAACATGTACTGTGACATACTAAAGCAGAGCATGATCCCCTCTCTTAGGAGACTGGGCTGCAGGGCACT